TCATCGTGACCCTCCGTCCCCCACATCCTGCTGCCTGTCACATATGAGAGGACGTGCAGAGTGCCATTGGCAGGGGGTTCGTGACTTTTCCCCAGATAGGAGCCCCACAAAAGTGCATCACTCCCCAGGAGATGAGTGCACTTGCAAGACCTGAAGCTGTATGAGTGTGCCCTGAGCCAGCCCAGAGGATCCAGTCCCCAGGGTTAACAAGATCCCTGAGGCTGATCTTGTGCAAAAAAATCAACTTGTGCAAAACCTCAGCTCCATAGCACTGGCTCCAGGATAGCTTTAGCAGCCAGGGAATGCATTTGGAGGGATGGCCCAGTACTGCCACCCTTTCAGGGTTTGCAGTGATTCTCAGCCCAGGTACAGCTGCAATGAGGTGTGAGGAGATAAGCATGGGCCCAGGCTCAGCCTTCCTGGCCATTCCTCCACCCTTGCTGCTGGGCCCTCTGCTAGGAGGTGAGCACTGTAATAAGTGCATTAGTTGCTGAAATGGGGCACCACTCAATTTGCTCAAGATCTGGAGGGCACTCTGAGTCTTGAAAAGGTGAGACCTGCTGTGCTAGAGCATCACAACCATAGGGTGGGATGAGCCTGGGACCCCAAACAGCCTGAAGGCCTGAGGAGACAGGGATGCAGCTGCAGCTGGGTTGCCATAGACTGCATCCTGGAGAGCAGGTGAGACCCATCAACTCATTCCTCCCAGCCCCAGGGGCTGCCCCTCCTGGTCCCTCCTACCTGGGAAAAGGGGATTGAGCCATTTAGAAAGGCTGAGCCCTGCAGGGCCCCTGGGGCACAGCCCTCTGTAACAGGCTCCTCAGCTCTGGAGCCTTCCCAAGGGCCTGGCTTTAAAAAGGTTGGTAAATCTTCAATTAAGAAAAGTAATCTGTGAGGGACTTATCATGGGGCTGCACTTGGAGCATGTTTCCCAGCCTGCCTGGTGAATGGAGCAGCGATGAACCCCTTTGGGAAGGGGTAGTTTTTAACTCCGGTGTGTGTATAATTCAGGAGCAGCTTGAGTATATGAAAACAAAGGAGCCCTGGCAGCAGATCAACCCATAACAGGGCTTAGAGACTTAAGAGCTTTGCAGAAGAGTTAAAGAGCAGCCTCAGTCCTGAGCCCCCAAAACCAGCTGCTCTGCCTTGGCTGCAAGCTGTCCCTGCTTGCTGTGATCTCCCCATGGCAGCTGACAGCAAGCAGCCTGCAAAGCGGATGCAGCAGCCCAGGCAGGCTCAGAGGAGGGGAAGGGGCACCTGTGGTTAGTCATAATCTATGGGTTGATTTAAGAGCTCTGGATTCTCATTCTAACTCTGCAGAGGGGGGGAAACTGAGGCACAAAGAGGAAAAAGAGCCTAGGTCTCCTGAATCTCAATTTAGCTGTCCACTAGAGCTTTCCTTAAGGCAGCAGCTTGAGAGTCAGTAGTGATATGCCCACCCCTTGCAACCCCCATCTCCAGCTCCAGGGGTGGCCGGTGGCTCAGCATGCTGGTGCTCTTTGGAAAATCCAGCCCTGAGCCTGTCTTGAAAATCTGGTCCTGCCGCCACAACCCAGCTGTTCCTGGCTGGGCGCTGCAGGGAGGTTGCACCTCTAATTTCTCTGCTCCTCAGCATCCTTATGTAAAAGGGGGCTGATGATCCTTCCCTTGTCTAGGCTGCTGGGAGCCCCTCTTGCTCAGCCTGACTGTGCCCAGGGGCACCTTGTTGGTGCCACTGCAAGATAATCCAGACAGCGCCTGCAGAGTAGAGTAGATACCCTGCCTGGGTTCAAACTAGTCAGTTTGGGGGCCAGAAGGTGCTCAGCACAGACTACAGGACTTGCTGGAGCAACTGTGACTGCATTCTGCACGCCTCAGGGCCCCTTTTTCCTTTCAGCAGGGAAGTTCTTCACTTCCCCCTGTGGGGTGACTCTGTGTCCCAGGCAAGGGCAGGAGCCACATGTCCAGCCACAAGTGGCTGCATTCTGGCTCTGAGAGGTAGCAATCCTAGCCATGTTCTGGACCTGATTCTTATCCTGTTTGGCCCAACAAGCCCAAGCTAGCTGGGAAAGCCTGTGAGCAGTCAGCAGTCCAGGAGATGCTGGCTGGGCCATCAAGCTGAGAGCCCCAGATTTGAGCCCTGGGAGCTGAAAGAGCTGGTTGTCGGGGAGAGAAGTGGTGTGGCTGCCCATGGGCCAGAGTCTTGGTGGGTGTAAATGGGTGCTGCTGCAGTGATGGTGGCAGTTTACCCCAGGGAAGGAGCCACACTACAGAGTCCAAGTAATGGAAAAAGGTGGAGCTGGGAGGGGAACTCTGCTGTTATCCAGAGTCTCTCAAGGAATTTATTCTGTGCTGTAACAGAGGGGAAGAGTAATGTCTCTGAGGCTAATTCACAGTCTCTGCCGATCAAAGCAGGAACAGTGGTTTCCAGGAACAGAAACCACTGCCTGGGGAAGGTGACTTAGCCCTCAGTGCCAGCCAGTGTCGAAAGGGGACACAGCTGACATGACAGCAGCCGTGTGAGAAGATGTGGATTCAGCTCCTGCCATGGGGTGCTCCTTGGAGGCCCCCATGATGGCACCCTCATTTCAGGGTGACGGAAACCACATGTGGGCTCTGGTTGAACTCAACAAATCATTACCGCAATGCAGAATTGGGGGAGCACTCCCCAAGCAGGCCGGTGCTCCAGATGGACAGGCTTTGGAGGGAAGGGTCTGGCTCCAGACTGACGTTTGAACAAAGCCATGGTGGAATTGAAGGGCTCAGTCATCTGACAGTGGCAGCGAGTGGTTTAGTTTGAGGTGAACAAACCATTGCAGGGTGACTTAAAGGAATAGGTTTTGGTTTGTTTTCATGTTGCCACAAGCCGTGAAAACATTTTGTCCTGGTTTGGCCAAACCGAACTTCTCCTGCAGGCAGGCCCCTCCACGAAGCAGCAAGGCTATGGTTGTCTTAGTCTGTCTCGAGCAGACCCCGCAGCAGGAAGGATGGGTCCAGCCCAGCACAGCTAAGGGTCACTGCTGAACTCCTTCCTCCTTAAACTATATGAGGTTGAGGGTCAGCTGTGCCCAGTAGCTGATCCAGGATAATGTGGTGGTGGCGGAGAATTCACTGTGCATGTGTCTGGCAATCAAGGCATCCAAGTGGTGAAGGGGGAGGGGGTGAGAGCAGCACTGCACCCCTCTGGGTCTGACCTGGCTTGAGGAAATTGGGAGCATCTCCCTTGGAGTCAATAATGTTGGGCCAGTGAGAGGCTTGCTAGGCTCGTCCTGGGGGTTACTCCATGCTGCTTGGAAGGGCACAGCTTCTCCAGACAGTCGCAGCAGCAGACAGTGCGGGAGGGAGTCGAGACCTCGTCAAGGCAAGACCCATCTCACTTGGCCGCTAAACAGATGTGATGTGACCCTGAGGTGAGATGAATCCCGTCTGACAGGCTCTCGGGGTCAGGCTTCCCTGGTGTGGCCTTGGGTGCACTGTGGCCTTGGTCTCAGCTGCTCACAGGGAGCTCTGCTCTGAGATGCTCACACCACAATGCACACCTTGCCTGGCCACGTCCTGCAGCTTTGTCTCCATGATAAAGATGCCAGAAGGTGGAAACCGTCTCCTGCTCTCCCCGCGCCTGCGGAGCTGAACCAACCAGGCCCCTCATGGGCTCACAAATGTCGTGGAGTGGGAGTCAGCAGGGCTCCTGGCAGCTCCCAGCCTGCTCTGCTGCCACATTGCTGCTTGGACATGCCACTCCCTTCCTCTGCACCTCAGTCTCCTGCATATAAAAACACTGGGAAACTCTTTCCTCCCTCCCTGGCATCTGGGGGGCAGCCACACATGCACCTTCACTGTGACAGGGTGCCCCACTCGCACCATAGTGGGGAGGTGCTGCCTGCTTATCACTCAGGAAGGTCCACTCAACTTGGGGCTTCCTGCCACCCCGGGCTGTACTAGGGTGGCCATCATAGAGGACATTCCAGTTTTCTGCTA